AATTCACAAAACTCCATCGCAACTTGCTCCCCTAAAAAATTCGTCAAAATATGCTCCCTCCAAAATTTTGACCATAAAACGCCCTTGGCACTCTTGCATGATCATACAGCTCTTCTCAGATTCTCGATGAATACCGAAAATAGTCGAGTATTTACAATCCTATTTACATCCATAAAGCTATCTTGAATTATAGGTGTTGTCTAGGTTAGGTTTTGTTATTTTTCTAATGCATAAAATAATAAAGTAAGTAATAAAGAAAATATCTTGAGTGCTTAAGTATCACTCTTGCTCAATCTCCACTGGGTTTAGCCCCAGTGACGCGGTTGAGAGAGAAGAATATCCAGTATCTCCTAGAGTCATGCTTTTCCCTCCACAGTTGGGAGGGACAAGTCTGGTTTCGAGTTCCCTTGCCAGATTGTAAATATTGTATATAATAGGTATGTATGTGTTATTTTTATTAATTTATTTTTAGGTTATTTTATTCTTATTTATTGTATATATATTATTTTTCTGTATAATTTATTTTATTTACTGTACATAGAGTGTGAATGTGATCTCTGAACACTATTATAAATGTCCTTGAGACAGATTGTAATATTTTTCAATAAAGAAGCTTTAAAAAAAAAGAAAAAAAGTATAAGTATAAATTGATAGATCTCGTTTGTCTCTAAATATTTTTTCTTGTCATTTTCGCTTGCATATGGTAACTGAAATACATGCGTAATACTATGTAAAGTAAACATGTTGTGATAGTTTTAAGTACATAGCTTATATCACTAACATAAACAAATATGTACTAAAGGAAAATGTTTTTCTATTGGGTGGCGTCAGTCGGAAAGCCCTCCCTTTTGGATTCGCAAGTGCTTGTTATTAATGAACATGTATGGCAAATAAATATGTTTGTGTAATTTATATGTACTCGGTGGCATCGAAGAAGTTCTAAGGATTGCTCAGGTGTACCTGGTCGGGGACGAGTGGGGACAATCAGTCGGCTAATGTTGGCTGCCCTGTCGAGGCCAGTCGCCGCGTTAACTCTCCAGTTGTGGCTCGCCCGCGTTCAATTCCTGACGTTCCGATTTTCCCTTCTTCGTTTTGTTGTATACAAACTGTGTTGTCTGTGCCGTGTTGTTGATCTCTGATCCTCAGTGTAAGTGCCTGTTGTTGGTGTTAGTGCCAGTTATTGCTTGCCCTCACATCACATAGTCAACATCAACTGGACCTGTACGGTTGGCAGCACACCTGTTGATTCTCTATGCTCCAGACATGGATACCGTATACGTAGGTATGTCGGTGTCTTATCTATTATATCTCATGCTTACGTACTGAAGCACACCTAATACGCAATTAAAAAGATTTCATTAAGATATATTTTAATTTTTTTTTTTTACTTTCTAATCATTATTTTATTATTTACACTGATCAAAGAAGATAAATCAAAACATATGTATCTTTTTTTAGAACAAAATTTCAAAATATATCAGTAAAAACAATGGATACCTCATGGAAGTAATTCTCAATTTTAGTAAAAAATAATAATTTTCAGACAATATATTATTTTCTGCCCTTCACACATTTTTCTGTGCCTGTGTATATTAAAAAAAATCGTTTGCTCCAATTTATATCAATGTTTCTAAAACCGCTTGTTCGTTATCAGAGCTATTATTCCTTATCTGTTTACTTGTTTGGTGTTACAATTAAATAAAACTAAGAAATGGAATACCCGGCGTTTTCATAATGCTATTGAGGTTATTTTTATTTAATAGTTTTATTTCATATGAAAACTATTTGATGAAATTAGAATATATTACAAAATAAAACCGTGCGTATTTCTATTTTATTTATGGCTATTAATTTTAAATGTGGTTATATTTTTCTCTTTGGTATCTGACCTTATATTGTTGCAGGTTAATTTGTCTATTTTTTAAAACTTAATTTAGAATATATGCAGCGTTGATAATGACCGATTTAGGTTATCTACTATCTTCATGGCCATTCATTGATTTGTTTAGTTGCATTGCATTATTGTCTAAGTGATAAGGTCATTAATGTAACAATTCATAATTTTTTTCATAGAAAAAGCTTTTGCTGGCCTTGAATCAAGGCAGGAGAGGATTTCGGGCTTAAGCCCCCGTCTCAAAAATAAGTTTTTTTTTCATTGGTCTATATGTTTTTCTGTACCAAATATTTAAACAATCATTATATGTATTATATGTAAATTATAATGTATTTACAGCAACTAAATGTAAGCACTTGTCAAGAAAACAATACAAAACATTCATTACTAAAAGTATTATGTGTTACTATGATTCATTAATTTTTTTACAAGCCTTCAAGAACCATCATTTTAAGGGGTGTCTTTCTTTTTCTTCAGGAGTAATTACAGATATACATAAAATATAAATGCGTTACTGGCTTGTACAGTAGATAAATACAGTTTATTTTTTGTGTATATACAATTATATGAATAATGTTTTCTCTTGGTGATTTTTTTTTAATTTGTGTTAAGTGTAGTTTAATTGTTACTTTTATGATTATAAAGCCAAATGATTTTTTTTTTCAAGTGTTTATTAAGTTTGTGTGTGGATGTGATTCATCACGAGGATTAAAAATAATAATAAATTAATCTGAAAAATGATGAATATTAAAATATGTAGATTGACATAGTGGTGATCCACATGCTTGTTTCGAAAGGTCGGCAAATTTAATAAATTTATTGCATGCATATTCTATGTTTTCATCCTTACAATTTGAACGCCCAACTATATATTCATCTCTCTATAATTGTTAATCTATAGTTGAAGAAGTCTTTGTAATGAAATGTTGCTATTACTGTATGCCTCCGCCATGAATCATGGCAGACCATTTCCTTCCGCAATAATGCCCTTTGTGGTTTAGCTTAAGCTCCTTTATGTAGCCATAAAGGGACCCTACCCTGTGGAGGTAATATATAGGGGCTCCAAGTTCTGTGCTCTTGTCTGAGGACACAGAGATGGTCTCTTAAGCATCCCCCATATCGACGAAGAGTTCGATGACCCCACCAAAAAGTGTTGAGTCGAAGGTCACCGTAACCTTATCTACCTGAGCCGGCTTGGTAGTCGTATTATCATACCGAAGGACCACTTAAGGGTACTCGATCGTATCAGAAGGATAGGGAAAGGGCATTAGGCCCTGGGTTAGATTACAGCTTTGGACTATTCGAAGCTATGACGTCCGACATTTTCTACTTAGTGGCCCTATAGCTGAGGACACAGTCCTTGAGTTGGCCAATCCTAAGTAAACATGGGTTCTCCTTTGAGGGTCTGGTTTAATATAGGCATTGACCCTTGTATAGCCTTTAGAATAGGAACATAGCTTACAAAATGTCTTTTAATAATGACAATTTATTTCAACTGCACGCTCTGTCTAAATAAATAAGCTGATTATTATATTAAAACCAGGTAACATTATAATGTTTGTATTAGCAAGCTCCAAATCATTATGAGGTTTAGTTAAATTTATTTTAACATTAAAAAAAGGATATTTTGACGGGGACTATAACTTCATATAAATCCAAAAGGATTTCATGATCAGATTATTTTTCTATAACATTACTAAATAGGATTTGATTGTATTGGTCCTACTCAATGTTGATAAATACTAACGGTTATGAATCTGACATTGAATTAACTCTATACTATTATAGGAGTTATTTATATTTAAAAAATTATAATTTATTTTATGTTAATCAGTTTATTGTCAATAAATTAATTATACAATTATGTATAATTAAAATTATTGCGGAAGTGAAAATATCAAAAATAAATTATTTGATTGAGTATTGTAAGTTAGTAATTTATTTCAAGAGGAATATTGCATATTTATAATACTTGTATTTTTTTCAATTTTGATCTTAATTTTTTTATTTCTATTCCCACTGAAGTGTATGCCTTAAGGTCAGTTTAATAAAAATCAAAATTGATTTTAGATGTTTTAATTCGGTTTGTATTCGGATTTTGGATTAAAGTTTCCCTGTATCAAACCCTAATTTTGATTTTTATCAAACTGACCTTATAAGGCATTAAATAAGTGTGAATAGAAACTTATTATTTTATTATTAAATTAATGCCATGTGAAACTCATATTATTATTTTTAGTTTCACGAATTTTGACCTTAAAATTATGTTCTCGTCGACAATAATAAAAAAAAAGATTCGCGTGCGCTATAATTCTAATTCGATTTAAAAAAAGGCTGCATGAACACTGTAGGGTCTCCCTTAAGTTGTTATATACCTGACAATTATTTTCACCGTCCGGGCACTATATATTATTTTTATTACTATTTATAAAAACATAAATTAGGAATACCATTTGCCGTTATCCTTATAATTTATATATATATATATATATATATATATATATATATATTTTTTTTTTTGCGTATTGGTAATGGTAATGCTAATCTAAAGTGTCTTCCTCTGGAATTCCAGTCTCTTGTCATATTAGACATGTACAATCAGTTTCCTCTTTCAAACTTCTCCTCTTTTAACACCCACTCCTTTCCCAATCAGACCGTTCATGAAAGATACCCAAGTTTCCCTTGAGACTATTCATGTTTAGTTATGTTATTCTAGTTTCCGATGTCTGTTTCTTATGTATGTATGTTTTTTTTTTTTTCATTATCTCTCTTTCTTTCTGTATTTTTATTTTCAATCAACTATTATTTTGTAAATACATAATTTATGTATGCTTGCACTGGCATTTATCGTCTACTAATAATTTTTTCTAAAGGAACAACCGTTTCATAATAATAATTTTTTTTTCATATCATTTCATTGACATATACCTCTCTCATTAATGCTCAATCATGTTCAGAAACACCATACCATCATAAATAACATTTCCGTCGATTTGATCTCACGGTATCCAGAATAATAAATCTAATTATATATATATATATATATATATATATATATATATATATATATATATATATATAAATTTATAATTTCCCTTTTAGAGAACTACAAAGCCCTTATTGAACGATTCTTTGAACTTATTGCAATAGGAACTGATACATTGGGAGCGAGGAAGACAGAGTTGTAGCACTGCTGTAGCCCAAGGTTACTTGGGTCCTCGACCTCTTTGATACCCCTTTCCTTGGCCGCTTCTTGCCGTTTTATGGCTGCTGTGCTGTGGGCTCCTCCGTATTTTAGTGCCAGTTCATCCTTGCTCATTTTATGGAGTTCGATGGCCACGGTTCGATTACTTTCCAGTTCCATTCAACCTATCCACACCGGCTGTATAATGTATGAAATGTATTTATTTTAGTTAAATTCGTTGTTACGTAACTTCTGTCTGTTATATAACTTCGTATGAAAGAAAGTAAAAAAAAATAATAAAAAAAACCTTTTTATAGGAAGATTTCTACAAAGCCTAGGCTTCCAACTACCTTTATGTTGTCAAGAGACAACACATATCACATTATATATTATATAATATTGTGTATTATTATTTGAGCCTTTCAGTTGACAGAATGACTAACTCCGATCTCAACATTTTTTAATAAAGTAATTTTAGTGATATTTCTAGTTGGAAAATTTATAATGTCTAGACAGACAATGAGTAATTTGATTTTAGAATAGGTGAAACCGCCCGACGTTTTCGACTACTGCAGCACTTACTAGACAAACGGTCTAAGCTTTCAATCAATTATAAGCGACTCATATATATGACAATAATAAGACCTATTTGGACTTATGGAATTGAGCTTTGGGGCTCCACTAAACCATTGAATTCCTCTCGTATCCAATCCTTACAATCCAAAATCCTTCGTAAAATCTTCAACGCTCCTTACTTTGTCACAAATAAAATCATCCATAAAGACCTTAATGTTCCATATGTTTCCGATTTGGGCCAATCCAGATACCTTTTCTTCCATAACAAACTGCAGAACCATCCGAATCCTCTCGTTTCAAACCTTGCTTCCTCCTCGATCCCTTATAACCCCCCGAGGCGTCTGAAAAGAAGATGGCCTCGGGATCTTCTAATATAGAACTTTAATTTGAATTCTACCAATGGGTAGTTTCTCTTCATGTTGTACATGTCATGTTACCAATTTCACATTTACTTATTGTATTTTCTATGTAATACAGTTGTAAATTCAATTAAAATAATAATAATAATAATAAAAAAGAATAGGTGATAGTAGTGTTGAAATATAGAACTGTGAATAAAGGTATATATTTTCCATTAGCAATATAAGTTAAATAAATAATGCAAAATTTAGAAATTGGAGTTCATCTTTCTGTCAACTGAAAAGCTCATTTAATAATTTTCAAATTGTTATTAATAAATAACCATTCCAGGTCTGGCATATATTTTATATGTTAAAGTGAAATATAGATTATTAGATTATAGACATTTATTATAGTCCACAAATTAGATTCGTCATCATCAACAAACTGGGTATCTGCTGTATCATTCGGTTAAAACAAGATTGTTCAAACTACGGCTCGCTAGCACCTCTTCTCCGATCCGCGAAAGTTTCTTAATAATTAAAAAAAAAATATGAAATTCATCAAATTACTCGCATAACAGGTTATTACAACAATTATTGCATGGGGTTTTCCTCTTAGAAAGCTCATTTCACAACTTGAGTGTCACTTATAGAACATAATTTTTCGGTTTCATCACAAGTGATTGCCCGCGGGACTTAGGTGTAGGTCTCAACGCGGCCCACTGGACTTATTGGAGGTCTCAGAGGGAGAGAGGAGAGTGAGCCGCGGGACCAAAACGTTTCTAAACCCCACTGGGTTCGGTCGGACAAAAACCAAGCAATTGAGCGTGGATGCTGATTGCAACACATTGCATAGTCGTAGGCTCTTTAAAATTACGTCATTGACCAATACTACAATCCCTGTTTTGGATTGGTACAAGGTTTTTATTATTATCTTTTTTTTATTTTATGAACAGTACAAAATTTCTTTATGTAGGTATTAAAATAATTGTTTATTTAGTTTGGCCCATAATCTCTTGTTCTGATACTCCACCTAACTCTAAGACTCAGCATTTTCATGATCATTAATTCACCACCATGTTTATTTTATAAATTAAAAGAGATATGTATCTGTTCCTACGTTAACAGCGCAAGCCTCCTTGTCGCTTCTGATTCTGGTTGATCCACATCTTTTCTTTGATATACACTAAGTATAAAAAATACTCAGCTTTGAAACGAGTACTTGACATCTGTGAGGGATGAGGAGCTGATCGCTGATCATGCTTTATCTGAATAATACCCTAAATACGCAACGTATGTAATATAATGCCTCTATCCATTATATAAAAAAAAATTGTGGAAAATACCTCTGTTAATGAGGCAAAATTTTTAATTGTTTATATATTTATAAAAATCTATGTATTGATATTTTTCTAAAAATCTTACTTGACAAATCGCCTTTATTGTGTTGGAGATACACCAGCATAGCCATTGGCCTTCTGAATTCTCCAAGAAACAATACCCTCAATTGGATGAAGTGTACAGGTTTATTAATAACTAAACTTTATAAATTTATAACATTTCATTAATATAAACATTCAGTAACTAATGAAAGTAATAAAATTACTTTTGTTATTAATTAATTTAAAAAAAAAAAATTTTTTTCGCGGTTTTTATCTTATATTAGGGCTTTATGGTTTGGTAAAGTAGGTAATGGGAAATTATAATAGCCAATGGATTCTTTTTTTCTACTTCGCGTGCCAACTCCGATAATAATGAAGCTTTTCAAGAAATAAAATTGGCTATAGATTTTCTTTTAAAAGCGGCAATCTGGAGAATAATACTCCGGATGTAGGACAGCGACAATGACGTTCCGTGACTGGGATGGGATGGTACCCGTACATGTCATGCCCCGAGGATCCATTATCTCTCCCACCAATTTCGTGTTTTTCTTTCGGTTTAGGCAGTTTAGAACTGTAGGGATATCGTTAAGGAACTAAAAAAGAAAAGATTTCTTTTTTGTTGTGATCGATACTAGCAGTAAATATTTTCGCATCACCTACCTCCTCCCTCCCCCCCAAAAAAAAGAAAGGTTCGAAATTAATATAAACAGAGTATTAGTAGAGCAACTTTGAATTTACAGGACACTAGTCAGCCCCATCTCACTATAACTACAGATAACCACAGTACTCCCATTCCTCATACCTCTTTTAAAATTCACCCTGTGCAGTAAAAGAGGTCATGTTTAATCCTCGACCTATCCCCTGTTTTCAACACCACATCCAATAGGGTTAAGAAAGAAAAATTGAAATAATTGGTGCGGTGCGCGCATCATACAACTTTCACTTACCCTCCTCTTCTTAACAGAAATAAGTATTTTCAGACAAAGGGAAAGTGAATGTAAAAATTATAAATACTATATTGATTTATATTTCATTGTGGGTATTTTTACTTTCACTTACCTATATATGAAATATATAGCTAAGGAAAGCATTGCGTTGGTGAAAATTTTTGAATCTCAGTTTTCAACGGAACCGCATGTTTTGAGGTCCCGTGAGTCCAAATAACCAAGTCCCACAAAATGTGTGTTTTGACGGTCTAGCTCAAAAACGAAAAGTCGTACGAAAGTGAAATTGCATATTTAAGGTTTTTATATGCTAGGGATGTAACAGTAACATTTTCGTCTAAATCGACTGACCGGAAGTGGCACTTTATATCAAGGGCTAAACACATTTTTTAAAATTTTCTCGGAAACGGCTCTAACGATTTTGATTAAATTCATTACATAAGTGTAAAATTAAGCAGTTTTAAATAAAATGCAGTTTTTATTCTGATTGATGTTCTCTAACAGGGCTTAAATGACTAATTTTCAATATTAACTTCCTCTAAAGTACCTTTAATTTTTTATTTGAAAAAATTGACTATTTCACATTAATCTCTAATATAAAAGATAGTTAAATATATAATATGAAAAAATTTGATAGTTAACTAATGGTGAAATAAAAAATCTTAACGGAGACGTTTTTTCATCTATCAAAGTTTCAATGATGGAATCATGGTCATTTAAGCTCACTTTGGTTGTTTTCAAAGGATTGCCAATTTTTTTCAGTGGCTTTAGAATGACTTAATTTACATTAAACATTTTCCTGAAATGAGGACCCTACTTCGGACCAGCCTCGAGAATTATCCGCGTACCACTTAATTCATCATGTTAATAGTTGTTATTATCGATATCTTGGACACACTTTCTCGGATAATTTTGTCTTAGTCGAGGTCATCTGTGATGCAATATTACCCGCATTAGTTGATAATGCATAATGGCATGTATTTCTTCTAATCTGTCTAACGTAATTTTATTTAGAAATAGGTTTTTATCGCTTCAATTCGATGTTAGTTCGCAGTTGTCGGTTAGCTTTTGTTATTTTATATAACTAGTGAGGTAATGTTCTATGAAGTAGTTGATTAATTAAGTTAGATTCTGTCATATATTATTCATCTATAGAATAATATCTTCAAACTATTGGTCGAGAAATGAATGACTGTTAAGCTGACAAAATGTTAAGTCATCAAATGAGAAGTATCTCTGTATATCTGTCAGATTATTTTGAAAATGGATCTCTAAACCTCTCGGGAGGTTTTTCCATAATATTTTGGAATGGATGTTTTTACCGCCTCATAAATGGATTTGCTCAATTGTTTTATCCCAGAAAAAAATCTTCATAATTAACAAGACTGGAGATTGGTTGGATAAATCGTAAATGGGTACACATATTATTTAACCGAACCCACGTCTTGATATATTTCATTCAGATCTTATCCTAAAAATATTTGTAAAAATATAAAAATTGTCTGTTCATTTTTACTAAAATGTGATTATAAATATTTAAAAAAAAATTAAGAAACTATTAAATGAACTTTAGTCAATTAAGAAGGCAAAGGGACTGATTCGTTTTATGCTTTAAACTTCAACTATGACTATAAGTATCATTTACTAAAATAAGAAAATTTGCTCGAAAACGGAATTATAAATGGAACAATCTTAACAATAAAGCCTTGAGTCTCCAACATACACTTATTAACTGGCCAACATTTCGCCAATACTGGCACCATCAGGGTAGAAAAAACCGACGACATGTATGCAGAAAGAAAAAGAGAGAAAAACAAAAACGCTATTGACATATCACTAAGCCATCCGAATACATAGTGAAGGAAACATAAGAGAAAGGTTGTATAAAACAGCTGATTAGCAGGGATAAAGGAAAAAAAAAAAAGAAAATATAATATTACAAAAAAATTACAGAAATAGCTATTTTTTTTATCTCTCTCTTTTTCTTTCTGCTCATATATGATCTGATTATTACTGCTCTGATGATACGTGATTATAAAATTATTATAATGCCGAAAAATATTTTTTATCTCGTTTAATTTTTCTGTCGCAGTTGAGTTTTGGGTCCAAAAACTGATTGAAAAAAAAATCGGTCCTTTTTTTCCTGTTTAAAAAAAGTTTATTTATAAATTTCGAATTTTAAGCTTTCTTGTGATTTAAATCATCGCGTGTTAGGGTCAGCTTGGATATCTGTCATAGTGATAAGCAATAATAATGAAGTATGACGTCACCTTCAAATGTTTGGCAGCCATAATTATACAATTATTATAGCCATAATTGGACAATAATTAAAGTGATAATTTTGGTAATTAATTAAGAAAATATTAATGTTATAATACGCACTTTCGTCAATTTGACATGCTGGGTCTATAATAATGTCTACCGGTTGAATATTTTTCTTTCCCCAGACAGTTGAAGGTTTGTGGTTGTATGATTATTTCTAATAGATCTATAGGTTAAGGCTACATCGCGAAGACCTTGTCCATGCTCTGTTGTTATTTTTTTGTCTATTTTGTTTTTCTCTTTTGAAATACGTTCGAAGAGTAACTTTAAAAATATTGAAATTTACTTATTCAAAACTAATCAAATATATTTCTTAATTGTAAAATAGTGCTTATTTTGACGGTTTTTTAATCACAATTATATAAAATTTCTGAAAATTGAAGCGACCGAAAATTAGTGTAAATAAAATAAAATAATTGGTTTGATTTAAATTTGGACTCGATTAAATTTTAGAGATATAATGAAGTATAAACGTTTAAAAATTACAAGGATTTTAGTATTTTTTACGATCTGTTTTTTTTTTCACATTTTTATTTATAAGGTCCAATATCTTAGGTATTAATCGATACCTGCAGTCCTGCCAACTGTAGAAGTGCCCCCTTTAATTTCCTGTCTAATTGAACTCTCCCTTGGGCAGTTGGCAACGATGTGTCGTAACAGCATTCCAGAATCAGCAGCGTTTCCTCTTGATTGGAGACATCCGTTATAATGCAAACATTTAGTCATCTTCTAATGTAGTTGAAATATCATTGCACTATTTGAAATTCGATATTTGCATTAAATGTGTGTATATATATATATTTGTTTGCCTAGACTGGAGAAAATTTGATAAATAATCCAGAACATTCGAAATTTAACTAAATAATAACTGAAAATAATGCAATATTTTAAATGCTTTTAGAACAGAAAGAAATTGAGTTTTGTTGGGTATATAGATAAAAAAAAATTTAATAATAAATAAAATTAATGAACTATGGTACCACTTGTTGGGGGGGGGGAGAAGGGAAATCCGTTGGTGGGGGCTCAGGGTGGGTTTATTCCGACACAAATTTTATATTATTTCTATTTTAAAAAATATTGTCTCATCTTGTTTATCTATTTCTATCCCAGTTGGAGACTTAAATACTATTAACATAGACATACTATTAACTGAATAGCATATCTTAAGAGGCACTTCCTAAAACAAATTTCTATTAATTTTCTATTCTCAGTATCTTTAAAAAATTGTTAATCTTTAAGTCTTTACTATATATTTATATTTGTTTCCTTGAAAATTTAGTGTTTTATTGTTTACTTAGTATTCGATTAATTAAATAAATCCAAAAAGAGGAAGTTGCGCTAAAAAGAAAAAAAAAATAATGGTTTCATCTGATTAGAGAAAAGTTGTTACTAATTTTTTAAAATGAAATTATCATTCAATTAAAAAATTATGTTCAACTCATCCACCACTACTAGGGACGCCATTAAATACGGAGAACTAAAAAAAAAAAAATTAGTGAATTACAAAAAAAAAAATTTAAAATGGAAAATAAAAATATATAAACATATAAACATTAGATAAAGAAATGAATTCCAGATAATTTTTATGCGTCTTTTTCCTCTCAGATATCTGGAGGGACATCTGCATTCCGCCAAAAAAAAAAAACTATTATTATTACTGTACTCTATTATTTTATTTATTTACAAAGGCACTGGTATTCAAGAAATATTTGGGGGGAGGGAGGTAGCGAAAGTTATAACGCCAGACATTAAGTAGTTGCTCGTTCAGCAGTGTATTATAATTATATATTGAATATATAATAATGGTGTATGTATTTTGATTAATCCATTCGTCTAGAGCCTAGAATATTATCTCGGAACGAGTTTGAGTTTGGAATGAACCTTAATAGGTTATGATTAAATGATAGAGGAACTTACTATTCACAACTTAAATGCTATTAGTGACCTGAATAGGTGAGTTCCTTCCCTATTTATTTTGAGGAATGCTGTTGGATGTGACCAATTTAATATTAATATTTAATATTTTTAGATATTTTATTTTATTGTATTTATTATTATTAAGTTTCTGTATTATTTATTTTTTTTTTTTTTTATTGTAAATAGAGTGTGAGTGTGGTTTCTCTGATCACTATTATAAATGTCCTTGATGTGACAGAATGTAATATTTCTAAATAAACAAATATAATATAAAAATATTTTTAGATAACTATATTTAAATATTTTATCATTTATTTATTGTAATTTCTTCGCCTTATGCTAGTTTTGTTGTGTTAAGGTGGAGTTTCTTATCATTTGTTCCATTTATGTATATTCATTTATAACCTTGCGATTCACGTAAAAGTTATCATTCAATAAATCATTTGTTATTACTTAAGGGATTCGTGACATTTATTTGGCATGCTTGTCAGCTATTATTTTTCGTTCATTTATCACCTTAGTAAATAAACGGTACTATTATTAATTTTGACAAACATTTTATTTGACAAAGTGATATTATCTCTTTATTAAATAATATAAATAATTTACGAGGTCAGAGTCAGACTAAGTACCATGTTTTGATCGGTAATATTACTGTAATATATAGGATGTTCCGTAAGTAGATGGAAATATTTAAAATTATGATAGCAAACCTCAAGATATACAAAAAAATGGGTCAATTTTCTGAAGGAAAGTAGGAAATCCAAGTTTTGTGTTTTTAAAGTAAGTCATCGTTTTTGTTGAATAGGAAGCGATAACTAAAGACATGTTAAATTTAAATAATTAACAATTGCTTCACTGTAAACCTGAAAAAATTGACTTTAAATGGAAATAGAGTTTGTCTTCGTTAAAATCATTTAAAGAAGACTTGAGATAGGCTAAACTAAGATAAATTCTGTTTTTAAAAATCATAAATAGTTCGTATTTTTTTCTTCATCATCCAACTAATCTACAGATATCCCGATTTTCGAAAAACTTTTTCGTTTATAAGCTTTAGTTGCACATTTCCATTCGAAGTAAATTTCATCTTGTTTACAATGAAGCAATTGTTAACTACGTTAAATCAATATTTCTTTAGCTATCGCTTCCTATTCAACAAAAAACATGGCACATAAAAAAAATACAAAACTTGAATCTCCTGTTTTCTGCCGAAAATTGGCCTATTGTTTATAATAACTTTTAGGTAAAAGTATTAGAAGGATTTATTTTCTTATCATAACAGTTTGAATTTTTCTATTAAGGAAAAATAAATAAAATAATTGACAAAGTTAAGCATTAATATTTTTCCGTCTACTTTTAGGTATTATTGAGTGTCCTTTAAGCGACTCGTTCGTTGTTCACTTCATTTCTTATATTATAAGCATTTGATTATCCTACCAGTATAATTTTTTTTAATCTTCATTATTTATTTTTTTTATGGTTTTCTGTTCTAATAATAGGTCTGTTCGAACATATCTAATATCACACTAATTTATTAATGTGCTTAAATACCATCATTGAAGGCTGAATTTGGTACTGTTTCATTTGAGAAATCCTTTAGCGAGTTCATATTTGTGAACCACTAAGCCTGTAATATTTGTTCATTTCCTTCAATTTTGGTATGGAGGTATAGTTCGTTATAAATTTGGCCGATATTTTATCTCTGCACTTTCATCGTTTTTTTATTCTTAAAATTATATAAAAAATTTCAATTTTACTATCATGGTATATTCTTATAAGTTTTCATTCAATTTAAAAAAACATATTGAAATTGAAAAATTTGTTTTTCAATCTTATTCGAAACATTTATTACGCAAGGATAAAAAAATGGACTGATAGTTTGTTGGGGACCCAAATGAAGGACATGTTCTTATATGATTTTTATATGCTGATGACTCAGTGATGATCATGATGAAGACTGCCTTTAATAGAACGCATTGGATCCAATATAAACAATGTGGTTTTAGCGTCAATAAAAAAACAATGTACATATACACAGATGTGGATGAAATGTGCGACTCAATCATTGTGTTTCTAGACAAAATGCAACATTATTTGTTGTTTCCAACAGTAACGGGAATGCTAACATTGAGGTGAATTAAAGAATCAGCAATGACGGAAAGGTTATTGGCGTGCTGATTTCTCTTCTTTGTAACTGTAATATTCTTGGCAAGACCACGAAGCTGATATGTTGACTGCGTAATGCCGTATGGCTCTGAGACTTGGACCTTCAATAGAGTACAGAAAAAAAAGTTAAAATAGCAGATAGATCTCTGTTGATCTGTTAGGATTTCTAGGATGGAGAACGTTGAGTAAAAGTGGAGTGAGAGAAGGAATGGAAGTAAAAAAAAATGATCTTAGAAATAATGGAGAAATAAGATTGAAGTGCACATTATACTAATTGGTTTATTATTATTACAATTTATAAGTATTTTTATTTGAAACATTATATATAAATAAAACACCAATTTTTCTAAATTAATTTTCTTGAATTTTCGGCAAACATTTTGTATTATGTTACGTTTGATTTACTTTTAGATTATTTAGGGGAGAGGGGGGTAATGGTCCCCCATGCCTTCCCCTGCGTACGTTCTTATATTCTCTTAAAACGGATGGATTAAAGTCCAATACCTAATTTGATAATTGAAAAACAGCTTTAGGTAGAAGAAAGAGTGAAAATATAAATTTAAGGAAAGCCTGCCCGGGCATGGATTGACGGAAGAGGGGTTGATTGCATAAATATGTGTACTGTCCTCTCTCTCACTCCTTTCTCTTAAGAAAGAATTTGAAGTAAAAAAAAAAAAAATCTTAGGAACACTAAATTATTTTTCATAATTCTTGTAATTCTTAAACTGTAATTACCTTTTTTGACTTAAATAGATGTATTTTGTACTGCAGCTACGTCACATCCACGGGCGGATCTACGGATCTGAAGCCCTTCTTTCCCCAAATGGTAAAATATAACCATATCTTATGAAAAATATACTTAATAATTACCTCTAAGAGTATTGTTGTTCGTGTAATTACATTTAATAGTACTTAAAGAATCACTTAAACTCTGTTCCATATAGGTAGTTAGTTCTCTTCTTTTAATTCCTACGTAATTATCGTTATATATTTTTTAAAAAAATCATTTAGGCTAAAGCCCCCCAAAACTAAATCCTGAATCCTCTAGTGATCACATCTGTCTCAAATTAGGAAAAAAAAGTGAATTTTGTTAGGTTTTATTCATTGCATTGAGACTGGATGCCTGATTTTAACGTCCACCACTCTCGCAAAAGATGTAAGAAACGTTTGGTGGCTACTAAGGGAGAAGGGCAAAGAAGTAGCTTTCATTTGAGTCCCTTCGCAGTGCGGGATGATCGGTAATGAACAAGCGGATCCAGCGCAGCCAACATGGCCAGAAAGCTAGATACAACATCCATGGAATCAATTAATGAAATCCCTCTAGAGGATTACGTTAAAAAAATTGCGGAGAATGTGTGGAACGTGTGGCAAAACAAGTGGGAACAAATAGAACCTAGATTAAAGGAAATTAAACCCCACTGTTTAAAATGGGAAACCTCTCACCGATCCTCTAGAAAAGAGGAGACAGCCCTCTGCAGATTACGAATTGGACATTGTGAGTTCTTGCACTTCTATCTACTAAGAGGACTTGATCCTCCGACCTGCGAGAGTATCAATGTATCAATGTCCAAAGGACAGTAAAGCATATTATTCAAGAATGCCCTACATTTGAACCTACAAGGAAAAAATTAGACATAGCACAT